TGCATTAAACTTGATCTAATGACTAAAACGCTAAAAAGAAGAGATGAGTAATTAATTGATCTGCTGCAATCATATAAAGGTATATAAGTTAAATTTCATAGTAGTGCATCAAAAAGAAGTAAAAGTAAATAATCTCCTTCCCTTGCTATTCTTTAAAGTAAGGTCACATATTATCTAATTAATCCTTAAATAAACCAAACAATGAGGATGCGAAGGTATTATATTTATATATAGCAATAGCTACATCATTAATTATCAATTGACTTTATAGACGGAGTGCTTCTAAGTTCTAACGTTTAATAATACACCAATAGTCTGTACTACGTAACATATTTTCACTTGTTTAAGCAGGAAGCAATTATTCTCATAAAGATACTACGGAGTATTACCATTTTATATACTACGTATTGTTTGCTATAATAAGTTTGGTACGATATTCAAAAGAAAAAAAATAGTAGGAGACTAGGAGCCCGTTTGGTAGCACCAAAATCGGCTGTTTTGGCTGATTCTGCTGAAATTTATGATATTCTGGCTGGAGTGGCTGTTTTGGCTGATTCTGCTGATTTAAGAAAAAAATATTTTAAAAATATATTTTATTAATAAATTAAAGAAAAAATTATATGTAAAAATAGCTAAAATGGTCCTCTACAGTAACTTCAGCCAATACAACCAGAAAAGTAACTCCAACCTTATTTTTTCGGCTTATTACACAATTCAGCGCGCGAAAGTAAAAGTTACGTGTTTGGTGAAAAAGCTGGCTGATAAGGCTGATAAGCCTGATAAGCCGAAAATAGGGTTCTCCAAACGGGCTCTAGGAGTAATAAAAAATATAGAAAAAATAGCAGATCAGAGAGTGAAATAGTGTGAAAGAGAAAATAGAAAATCGTCAAATAGACCCTCATAATATGTCAGAAAAGTCAATTAAGCCCTCAAACTTAATAAACAACCAATTGAACCCCTAAACTATGGAAAAACATTCAAATGTGATATCTATCAGGTATGTATCCGGTTAGCCGGTTAAAAAAGCCTCATAGTAGTAATTGAATATCTTTAAAGAAAAAATATAATGAAAATTAAAATATATCTAAAAACGAAAGTGTAACAAACAAAATAATACTCCCTCCGTCCCTGAATTATCTTCAAACTTTCATTTTTCGTCCGTCCCAAAATTATCTCCTCTTTCTCTTTTTGGCAAAGAATTTGTAATTCACAACCATTCTTACACATTCTTTCACATTTCTCTCTCCTCTGCACAACTCTCCACCACACAAACCCCACTATCTTAATTTGTGTGAAATGTCAAAGGAGGAGATAATATAGGGACGGAGGGAGTATAAAGGAAGTATGAATTAAGTACGTAGTAGTATACTAGCAAAATAAATAGGAGAATCCTATATAAGGGTTTATTTGACATTTTTATATAAATTCGAGTGCCTATCTGACTCTTTTCCCATAAAAATAAGTACGAGTAGTTTTTATTTAATCGTTTAGAGGAATAAAAAAAATCGTCCAATATTTTTCCCTTAAAACTTCAATAGATTTTACTCCCGTTTTTTTTTTACTTACGAACAGTTATTCATTGATTTAGACGATTCATTCAGACCAATTTTAGAGATACATTTCAAAAGATTGTGCCACTATACTGGGATTTCTTGATATCTTTAAGATATTTCAAAAAGTTTTACTCATTACTAGAAATAATTAAACTTCCTCTCCGATGTCCCAAATCCCAATACAAATATACGTAGTCCATAATTCCAAGGCTTGAGTTGATACAATTTTTTTTAAGTTTCGATTTTGACCAGACCGATAGCATGGGAGTTTATTGAAATGTCTAAGTGACAGATTTTTTGTGAATGATGATCACGTCATATTAAAATCTGAGGAAATAATTTATTGATGCATTTTCATGATTAAGGATGTGATAAGACAACATATTTGCAAATTGTACTTAGTATAACCTGAAGCTAGGAATTAGGATGATTGGACCTGTCTTTTTTTTGCGTGGATTTGGAGGTAAAATCTACGGTGACGTTGAGAAACTTTCGCACTTTCCACTGTTTGGGCATAACCTTTTGCATCTACAACCACCTACCCTAAAATGATAATCTTCCTTGGAACTAAATGCTGCCCATCCTTTCAAGTCAGCCAATAAAGCCAATTATTAATGAATTAACTCGAAATAAAAAAAGATAGAGGGGCTTGGCGTGTGGAGATAGTAGCGATCGATGGATGATTTATATATGTACAAAAGTGAGGGGGACAAAGTGGGTGGGAAAATGGGTAAAATGAAAGCCCATATGCCACACCTTTGTATATAGTTTTCCCTTTGTGAAAAAGCTCCCCTATTTAGGTGCCTACAAATTAAATCTTCTTTATATATGATTGGAAATACTCCTAGCTCTAGATCAGTTCTTGTTAACTTTTAGTTGTGTTGTTTCACCTGAAACTCCATGCTTGAATTGGATTAGAGTGTGTGTCCTTGTAAGGTTGATCGTAAGGGTTGTGTTAATTAGAGTTAATGTAGCACTTGGAAATTGAAAAGGAAAAGATCAATAAACCCTTCAAAGATTGAGTAAAATACTCAATTTCTCATTCTACCCGTCATCATATTTGTTATCAAATTCATACAAAATTAAATTTACCATAGCCTATATCTTTTCCACCTTAAGTCTTTTTTATAGGGAAACATTCTCGAATTACGAGTAAATATGTTTTGAAATTACAATATAAGATTGCTACTGTTTTTCATCCCGAATTATTAGTAATGTGACGGTATTTATGGTAATCTTGGATTCGTTATTGTCAAATATTTGCAGTACTAGGCATTAACGTGACATTATTTATAAATAATAACAGTAATAATTCATCGAAAAAAATATAGCAATTTTATTTTATCCAATTTCTTTTTCATCCAAGATTTCTAGGCATTTGAAGGAGAGGAAAGGAGGCCTTACTTTTCTGTGGCAAATGGTCAAGAGCAGCTCTAGGAATTCCATATTCTCGCTCTTGCAGATTGATGTGGGAGAGGGGCTCAGTTGTGTTCTATGAGTCCTTAAACTACATCTATATAGGGGGGGATTCCTATAGATGTAGAAGGATGTTGACTAACTACAATGGTGTCCAAAACTAACATTGTGCTCATTCCAAAGAAAGAGTAAAAGATATGATATCTCGATTCTACTCTTACATTATGAGCAACAAGAAAATTGTGCCATTATATTGACTACATATATACACCCACTCGGGTCAAAATCATCTACTAGAGCAAAAGGAGAACCCGATCCTCCACACGTGTGTTTAACTACCCCTATGGAGAACACTATAATGATCGAGTGACATTTGTATGAATTATATAACCTTCAAAAGCATATACTACGTACTAGGTATAATATGGGTTGAACTAAAAGCAAGGTTTTAACCCTAACACATGCCAATTAGTTATAACTAGTTGCATTTAATACAATGTTCATTTTTAGCTATATTATACATGCACTCTTTTAGTAATGAATGATTCAATTCCCTTCTCTTAATTAATACTCCGTAGTTCCAATAAGGAAATATATTCATTTTAGTGCTTTTCTGCAAGAGGCACAAGAACTCATTTTTTATTTATCATGCATTTGCTAGGAACTTAGCACAAATGTACTTGATCATTGAATAGTAATTTTAGGTTTGACTCACGAAATCGAGTAATAACCAAATTGCTTTAAGTTAGAAGTTATTTTTCTAACCGACTTTGCCGAATCAGCAAAGTGGAATGTTTAGCTTGTAAATTATTTTTCTTTATTTTATTGATAAAAGATTTTTATTTTTTAATAATTCGACAAATTTAACGATTTTATTAGCAATATTACCGATTTCAGCTCTCTCAATCAAATGAACTAATTCCACTGCTATCAACAAGCTTTATACTCCCTCCGTCCCAAAATTATCTTCATTCTTTCCTTTTCGGTCCGTCCCAAATTTATCTCCTCTTTCCTTTTTTGGCAAAGAATTTGTGGTTCATAACCATTCTTACACATTTCTCTCTCCTCTGTACAACTCTCCACCACACATTTCCCACTATCTTAATATGTGTGCCAATTCAAAAGAGGAGTTATTTATGGGACGGAGGTAGTATCTTTTGCCTCAATCTTTGATTCATCTAGTTTTCTAATTGGTTTGTCCTCTTTTGGATTTAGAGCCCGTTTAATAGGATGAAAATCGGCTGATTTGGCTGATTTTGCTGAAATTTATGAAGTTATGTTTGAAGTGGCTGCATTAGCTAATTCTGTTGATTTAAGAAAAAATTATTTTTAAAATATATTTCATTAATAAAATAAAGAAAATTATATGTAAATATAGCTAAAATGGTCATCTACAATAATTTCAGCCAATACAGTCAGAAAAGTAACTTCAACCTTAACTTTTTTGCTTATAACACAATTCAGCGCGCGAAAGCAAGAGTTACGTGTTTGGTGAAAAAGTTGGCCGATAAGCCTGATAGGCCGAAAAATGCCAAATGTCCTCTTAATTAGTACCCCTTAGCCATTATATAGTGATTGTTGTTGTGAATCATGATTTAGAATGAAATCTATCCATCGTAAAAAGTGAAAAAATTACACTCCTAAATTGAAATTTGTAATGATGTTTATTTCAATCACTCTTTTGTAAGATCCACTGTAATTTATTTGCTTAAATCAGAGACAGAGATAATATGGTCATCATATTTATTGCGCCTTCACATTTTGGTCATTATATTCATCTCTATTTGTTTAGCCTAATATTTTGCACCTTCACACAAAGAAAACAAAAAGAAAAAAACAAAGACCGGATAAGCAATTAAGCATCAGTTATTCAAAGGTGAATCAGCCCCTGAGGTCAGCAGACAGCACGCTAAGCACACTAAGCTAGTCAACAACTTCTTTATCCCCCTGCCTAAACTCCATTTTTAATTTTTTTACAGTGAAGTAGAAGTAGTAGTTATGCATAAATAGCTTTTGGGTTAGGACAAGGAGGGGGCTCAGGGTACGAGGTTTTATAGGTCTTTCCATCCTTTTTCCTCCTCTCTCTATCTCTATTCATTCAGGGTCCTGCCTATATCTGAACTTGCTTCCTTCACTCAACATCTTTTCGACCTGCAACACCCCTCATTTATTGTTCCTTTTTCGTCGCTGCAAACAGTAGTGATGGAGCTAGAACTTGGAAGCGACTAAACAGCAACCCCTTTTCCCTTCCACCCCATCCTTCTCCCTCTTTAATTGCCATGGCACTTCTGATCTGATCTGAGAATCCTTTTCTTCCCTTCCGTTACCCCATTCTCTTTCTGTCTATCTGTAAAAAATCTGCCTTTCCATCTCTTTCGAGCTTTCCTTCCTTCACTCCCCCAAAATGGCCGCCTGCTCCCACCAGTGCAGCATGTATGGCCATGGAAATCAACGCCAGCTTTTATTTCTCCTCATTTTCTCAATTTCAATCTTCTCCCAGTCTGGTTTCTCGGCTCAAGGTAACTGGGTCATTCCCAAAATCATATCTTTTCTTCAAGAACACATACAAAATTGATTCTTTAAGTTAACTTTGTTGTGTTTTTTTTTTCCAGGCAGGGTAATGCCAAAGCAACTCGTGGAAGATGGTTATATACCTCAGGTGTGGGTCTTAATTAATCATTTTGTGTGAATTTCTTGTTTTTGGAGTAATTTATGGTGTTTTGATTAGGTATATGTGGAATTTGTAGCAGGTGAGAAGAATGTTGATAGGGTCAAGGCCACCAAGATGTGAGAATAAATGCAGAAATTGTGGTCACTGCGAGGCTATCCAGGTCCCCATAGTTCCGAACCTTAAAAACCAACCTACAATTAGAAGCAGCCATGATTTGCCCAAGCATATAGCTTATAACAGAGAGGACTATCTCTCTAATTACAAGCCCATGTGCTGGAAGTGTAAATGCGGTGACTTAATCTTCAACCCCTGAATTCATTCATTTGTTCAGAATAAGGTGAAGATGATGATGGGGAATGTCTATGTCCAGAATTGAAAAAATCAAAGCAAAGAAACCCATCCTTTTTTTTCCTTTTCTTTACTGTTTTTGGTGTATGAAGATAAAAGAGTGCTCTTTAACTGTCTATATATTTTTGTCATGTGTTGTGTATGTGATCCAAATCTTGAATGCTCTGAAGAATCCAGATTGGATTATGGTAGATGAACCGGTCGGGATTAATTATGACCTGCTATATAATTAAGTAGATAAACGAGTGGTCCTAAGATCCAATTACAATTTACAATCTCATACATTTGCTGACTTTAATTGCAAAGTTATAATGATTGTATATTTAAGTGGGCGTAAATGACATTTGACTCCTTATTTCGAAAGACTGGTTATATACGTATAATGTCAATTGAGGACAGTCGTAGTCTTCTTCACTGAAACGGAGAAAGGGGAGCATAATTTTGTCTAGGAATTTGTTGTGATGCACTGATCTTGATGGTTTTCCCAATGAATTTGTTGTTTTTATGTTTGTAATTGCTATTAAGCCCCTTGGTTTATACTCCGTATTACGTCTCTCCCCACTGTCACTAGGGGTGGGCGTATGGATAGACCCGGGCCGGTTCCAGTTTGGGCCTGAGCCTGGCCGGGCCTTGGTTTGGGAAAATGGGAACTGGAACTGGTCCGGCTGGCCGGCGGTTCAGGGTCGGGACGGGCCACCCGGCGGTTTACCGGGCCGGTCCGGTTCCGAGCTTCGTAATTTTTTTGGTTGATTCTTGAATTGATGTACACAATAATATAAAAAAAATTCAAGTATATTTATTTCAAATAAGAAGTACAATTGAGAATTAGGATGAATTTAATAAATGTAATACATTTTGTAATAAAAAATCAATCGTAATCTCCGCCTTCGGAGGTGGTTTCCTCCATAAAGTGGCGGGTGGGAGCGATGGTCATTTCTTGAGTTCTTTGTTGGGCCTTCAACCAATCGTGGAAGCAAACTAACGTCTCAAAAGAGTTCAGGCTCAACCTCGTTCTATAATCGGTTAGGACGTTGTCGGTTGCACTAAATTCTTGTTCCACGGCAACTGTTGATATCGGCATTGCTAGCACTTGTTTAGCCATCTTTGATAAAATCAGGAACGTTCTTTCATTTTCCTTCCACCACTTAAGAACGTCAAAGTCATCACCAACTTCATAATCAACATTCAATGTTAGATACAAAGAAAGCTCGTTAACTGACTTTTGTTCAGTAGCGGGAGTTGCTCTACTTTTTTTCAAAAGAGAACCAAATGCAGATTTTAAAAGTGATTTTCCTTTAGATGAAGAAGATGTTCGCGGCAGGGGGAGGGGGTGCATTACTATTTGTGCATGAAATTCATTATACAATTGATGAAATAAATTACTAACCTCATTGAATTTTCGTTTAGGGTCTATGTGATTATCATCGAACTCTTGAGTTGGAAAAAAAAAGCGTAATAGTAATCTACACAAGTTCCCAAGTAAGCAAGTTTATAACCACGATCAAGAATAAATGCAATACCATATATATGCGGAATATGTGAATAACATTTTAAAAACTTTTGTTTCATGAAATCACAAAAACAACTAACGTAAGCGCCATCGGAAAATTCACAAAAAGCGCCAGCGAGATTAACAGCTTCAACAAAAAAATTCGATTGCGGTAGGTTTAAAAACATGACTAAAAGTTTGAGTTGCGTTATTAAAATATACCAAAACATTAACAATTTTTTCACAAGTGTCGATGTCAGCCGGGTTTATAATATAGTTACAAGATTGTCTTAAAAAAGCAGGAAAATGATCTTTATATCTAATAAGTACTTTAATTAAGTTATAAGTACCATTCCAACGAATAGACAATCTTTAGGAAAAACACAATAATTGACACGTCTATCCTTCAAATGTTGTCGCCATTGCATTTTTAGTGGAGTGTTGGCCCAAATCAATGTAATTCCCCCCTTCACTACCTCCAAAGAATTTTCTAATGCCGCTAACCCATCTTGTATACACAAATTTAGATATGACATGCACAACGTTGATGAAAAAACCTACCCATCAATGTAGAAGCACCACACAATTCACGCAATCTAGGTATAGCAGCAGTATTATTACTAGCATTATCAAAACCTACAGCAAACACCTTATCAAGCAAATTATACTCAATTAAAATACGCTCAATGAGAATATAAATATTATCAGCAGTATGACGATCATTGAATTCACTAAAAGCAAGAACACGTTTATGCATATTCCAATCATCATCAATATAATGTGCAGTAAGACCCAAATAATATAAATGATGATAAGTATCCTCTCATATATCGCTACAAATACTAACACATCCATCAAAGTTTGCGAAAAATGTTTGTAATTTATCTTTTTCCAAGTTATATTGCCTTATAACTTCTTTTTTAATCGTTTTGCGACTATAATTTCTAAATTGAGGATTTAAGGTACCTTGAACATAATCTCTTAAAGCAAGACTCACTACAACATTTTGGATCTACTAGTACACTGAAAAAATGTTGCCTAATGTAAAAAAACCGTTGCCATTGGTTTTCGCAACACTTTTAAAACCGTGGTAGTGTAAGGCGTTGCCTATACATTAGGGAACGGTTTTGGTACTCAAAGGCAACACAATGGGAAAACCGTACTCATAGAGTATATCTTAGAGAACAGTTTTTTAAAACATGTAGGGCAACATTTTTCATTTGTTTCTGTCAATAGTAACAAAAGAAAACCGTTGCCAAAAACAATATCACAATTTTCTTCAAACATAGCTACATAGCAGTGCTCATTTCAAATGCCAATATTTGAAAAAGTGCAGGAGCAGCATTTATGAAATAGTTTGCAATTGAAAATGGTCGAATTTCAATTCAAAAATAATCACACAATCACAGTTTAACAATCCTATACCTAATAATCAACATTCATTGTCTTTCATGCCTACTTTTGGCAATAGGAATGTCAACTTTGAACTTAAAATAAAAACAACAAAAGGAAAAAAAAAGACTTGATCAAATCACATTCAGCCATCATTGTTTGCATCTTCATCTTCACTTTCATCATCAATTTCATCACTCATCTACAACAAAAAAAATATAATTACAGCTTAAACCAAATAAATTATAAAGAACAAAATAATCAAGCACACAATTAAGCTCAAATCAAAAGCAATAAGGAATAGTAAGAGATAAGGAATTGTTTTTTGGTGTGTATCATTTTGGTGTGCAAGTAGTACTAAAAATGAAAATCATGACTGTTTTCTTTTTAAGAGATATTTTGGTTTTCCATGTGTCATTAATAGACAACCAGTTTTAATCAAATATACCAAACCTATATATTATACTAGTATATAGTTTGAGTATATAAGCTTACTAAATGGTTTACACTTCGAGTAGCAAATTGCATTCTGAACAGAGGTTACAAATCACTTTAGCGGTGCAAGTCAGCAGATGCTCTTCCAATAATATGGAACAATTACTTAATAGAGCAATGATAAATTAATAGTAATATACTCCAAACGGATAATAAGCATACCGAAAAAAGGTTTTACATCAATTGAACGGTTGGTAAAGCCATAATAACTGAAAACTTATATCACAGAAGTTATTATGGTAATAGGTACAACCTACCTCAATAGATACGGTTTCAAAAGTACCACAGATTTTGCTACCACCGCAGGGCTGATTTAAGGGAAAAGAGAAGACAATATCAGTGGACTATTTGTGAGAAATCATTAAATTAATGATTTTGATAGTTTTGGGCAAAGCTGACAATATACATGTTCCAAGGCCAATATCTGAGCAGTTAACCATCCCTGTGTCTGGCATATATCATAAAGAAGATAATAAGTGGACCAATCCTGCAATTCATATTGAAGTAAAAGTTAGTAATTATAAAGATAGCCACTAGCTTCAAAACATGTACTAGTAGTCATATTGTTGATTGTATTCATGAAATTTTCAAACGACAGTTGAAAATGTGTAATATTCCCAAACCTTTTCTAGTGGTTTTTCTTTCCCATCTTAGCTTTATGAACAAAAATGCTTTATCTCTGGTATGATGTACAAAACTCAATGTTCTGAGCTTTGATGTAGTGCCTTGGGGATTATCAGACCAGAAACAAAAAAGCAGAGTTTATTTATTACCATTAAAGTTGGGATAGCAACACAGCTAGGGGAGAGCAAACCCGACCCTACCCGATTGACCCGATCGGATATATCCGATTTTATTTTTTGGGTCGGATAACCCGACCCGAATGACCCAAACCCGATCCGATTTTTGCAACCCGAGAGTTAAGTGGGTAGCGGGTAGGGTTACCAATTATGCTACCCGACCCGCCCGAAAACCCGAACTAGGGTAGTATATATACTACTTTGAATTATTATGCATGTTCAAATATCTCAATTATTGTATGCCAATTACCATATTATGCATATCAAATATTCCAATTGCCGTATTTGTAAAACTATAACTTTGAATGTTGTATTGTTATGATTTTGAATGATATTTTGACCAATTATCATTTTATTTATCATAATATCAAATATGTCAATCACCGTATATTATTATTTTACATGTTCAAATATGTCGATTACCGTATTTATACAGCTATTACTTTGAATGTTATACTAGTATAACTTTGAATGATATTTTTACCAATTACATTTTATATATCACAATTTCAACAATAATAAATTAAAATCCGAATGGACCCGAAAACCGAACCAACCCGACCGAAACCCGAACTTCTTCAACCCGAAAAACCCGATAAATTTTTTGATCGGGTAGGGTTTGAAATTATCAATCCGATACCCGAACGGGGTTTACCATTTTTGAACCCGACCCGCCCGAACCCGACCCGTGCTCTGCCCTAAACACAGCCAGCTCTTCATCAGACACCATAACATCAATGCATGCTCCTAGCGAATTTGCAAGTCTTGCAGCAATCTGATGCTTACACTGCATTCTATTAACTGTTCAGAAAACAAATTGAGAAGGCGGCAAGTGGATCAAAATCATTAATCTAATGATTTCTCACACAAGTTGTTCCCCTCTAAGCCTATCAATCCTTATAAAATAATATTATAATAATAATGTATTTTCAGTCATCCTTTCATGAAATAGGGGTGAATTAGTGAATGAGATCCAACTTTCAGTCATCCTTTCCTGATTGAATTTTCCCTTTCAAGGTCACATGGATCAATAGAGCTTGCTCGATCAAGAGCAAACAATACCAATAAATATGATTTTCCAGAAAAAATATGATAAGATGAGAAGAAATCTGAATAAGATCAAAAGTTCAAATGAGAAATTCAAAGAAATTCCGGAAACTGAAAAAGCTATTGCTACACTTGGAAATATC